ATGAAGGAGTGAAGTGGGAACCGAAGCCCATACTGCAGTTGCGGAGTATAAACTCCAATATAACCAGGCGGAGGACGGTGAATTTTGTCTTTAACAGTGGGCATCTGGCACCAGTACCCATTTTCCTTCATAATGCCGTAGCAAATCTCAAGTTGCTCGGCAAAGTAGAATTCAGCGTTGTTTTCAATCCACCATTTATAAGGCAGAGACGACATGAGGCCAGCGTTTTCATTTTCATCCAGCCACTCCCTTTCCTCGGGAGTTAAAGGCATAGACGCTGAAGTCGCCCTATTGGCTAGAGGTGCTAGCTTGTCCCGAAGCACGGGGCGGCAAAGTAGTTAAAGGAATGACACTAATTGCAGCGCTACTAGAAGCGGCGACGGCACCAATCCTAGCCCTAGGGTTTTGGTCGCTCAGGGGAGGCACCAATCCTAGCCCTAGGGTTTTGGTCGTTATCAACTGCGAAATCTCCTCCTCCTCTTCTTCAATACTCGGCTCAACCTCCACCTTTTTCTTTCCACGGTCGCCGGCCATTTTTGAAGGTGGTTGCGCGAAAGAGGGGAAAAAGAGGGGTACTTGGAAAAGCAAGAAAACCGAAGAAAATTGAAGAAAATTACCTTGGTCAGATGCGGAATTTGCCGATCTATAAGTTCGGAGCAACAAAAGTCAATTTCAAGCCTCGGATTGCTGAATATGAGTGAAAAAAAGAAAAGGGTTTAGTAGCGAAGATTAGCGAGAAGAAATTGGAAATTAGCAAAATGAAATAAGGAGAAAGAACGGGACGAGTGGCTTAAATATCTTCCAGAAGTGGGAATCTTGGGAGTCCGTGCCACTAAAACCCCCACTAACTCCACTTTAATGCTCTACTTTTCCGTCTTCTTCTCTAATTAACCGCCCACTAAACCATCCACATCCTCCATTAACTCCAAACAGCCGTTATAACCTCAATAATCCCAAAAATTTAAATGCTAATTTAATCATTTACTTCCCTCCAATTTGCAAGTAAAAACCCACTTCGTCACAATTCCGAACTGAGTCTAGGGGGCAAGTTGTTTGGGTCCAATTCACTCCAATTTGGCCGGTCCACAAATGATTTAATTATAAAGCCCAAAGAAGGTTCAACCCTCAAACACATGCCAAGTCAGTCAAAGACCCAGTCAACATGGTAAGCCCATTTATCTATTGAGCAAGGTATAAAAGCCTTCACTCTCCTCTCTCTACGGTCATTCACTTTAAACCTCAAGCAATTAATACTCTTGTATAGCTTTCTCTCCCTAAACACTGTATTGATTTCGGCATCGAAGGGGCCTTCCTCGGCACAACCCTCGAGGCCAGTTTATGTGTGTTTGTTGTGTAGGAAACCCTCATCCCAATCATCATTTGGGACGAGTTCAGTCTTCAGCCTACAAGAAAGGTCCAGACGAAGGACCTATTATTTTCACTCGAAACAAGTACTATCTAACTATCTTTGATAGATGCATGTCGATGAAATTGAAATTTGGGTTCAATAGGGCTTGTTTCTTTGGTAGGTGTGTTTGTTGGTAGAATTGAAATTAGGGTTTTGGTAAATTAATAGCTAGGAAGAGAGAGTTAGGCATTACCTTGTTTGATTATGATTGAAATGTAGTAAGGGACAGATAACACATGATTTGCAAATTCAATCAAAATTGAATAAGAAAGAGAGAAGCAAGCAAATGGAGGAATATTGGAAGCAAAAGAGGGGGATGGTTCACGTGACCTGCATGCATTAGTCATTGCCGAAAAACATTGGTCTAGTTGGAATATAGACTAAGGTTCCACTCACACAAAAAAAAAATTGGTTTAAGGTCTGAATTTGCCAGAATTTGAAAAAAGTAGTTATTTGCAAACTTGACATTTGAAAACTATGTTCTATTTTAATTATAAATGTATTATGATATATTCTTAATATTACATGGGAGGATTCACGCATTTCCATGCACATTATCACCCTTAAGCATCTGTGGTTGAGTATTTGGTAGAAGGGTATAAAAAATAGTGTCTAAAGTTCTATAGGTACAGTATCACAAAACACAGAGATAATATGTCTTATTTGTAATAGTATAATTCAGAAGTTATTTATAATTTTTTTTTTTAAAGAGTTGAGAAATTGCTTTTTTTATTATCAATTATACCATAACTGTTCGAGAGGATGAATATTCATGCGATCTTAATTCAAGTTTGTGCACCTACAAGTAGAGCTGTTAAAAATTGATCCGATCCGAACCCGATTATTAACCGACCCGTCTAAACTCGGAAAAATGATGACCCGAATCCGATATGACCCGACCTGAAACCAACCCTAGACCCGAGTTAACCCGAGTATTTGAGACCCGAACCCGAACATGAACCGACCTTGAGATGACTCGACTCGAATATAACCCGTAAAATATTGACTTGAACCGAACCCGACCTGAACCGAAATTGACCCAAACCCAATTTAACCCGTCAAAACCCGACCTGTTACTAACCTAGCCTGAATTCAACCCGACCTATTCCTAACCAGACCCAAATTTAACCCGACCTATTTCTAACCAGACCCGAATTTAATCCGACCTATTACTAACCCAACCCGAATTTAACCCGACCTATTGCTAACCCGACCCGAACTTCAACCCGATCTGTCACTAACTCGACCCGAAATCAACCCGATTTGTTATTGACCCGATCCAAATTCAACCCGATTTGTTATTGACCCAACCTGAAATCAAGTCGACTTGTTATTTTATACATCTTTATTATTGTAGATCAGATACTAAATAAAGATATATGCTATATATATATTCTAAGCTACTCGTTATGTCAAAACTTCGTAAGGCTAAAACTACTCTATGTTAATATTAATCAAAGTATTTTGTCTTGGATGCAGGGAGACCAAGTCGATCCAACAAAAGAAAGAAGCATCATCCCGAAATTTAGGCGTTAATTATAGTATATATTTGTTGTACATGTATATACCAAGTCTCATATCTTAACCTTAGTGTACATATATGCATCTCTTTAATTTAGTACAAACACTCCACATACTTATCAAAATCAATTAAGATGAAAAATTTATTTGTTTTAGATTAAGTACTTTTTTTTTGTAGTAAATTTTATTACCAAAAGGAACTGCAAAGCAGCAAAACAGGAATACAAAAAGCCCGTAGGCCTAAACCCAAATGCCTAAAGCCCCTAAGGGCACACAACCACCAGCCAAGGACCAAGATCCAAAGGCCACCTTCTAGGAAGGGTTCCAAAGAACCTTGGACCAAACACGGCTCTTCTGAACTCAAAGGAAATGAGCTACCCTCTTTTATTTATTTATTTATTTATTTATTTATTTTGTTAGCTAATTAAGTCATAAAGTATTAAAGTATTACATTTTTCTCCAAATAACTAGCAATTTAGGATTACGTCATATCTTTTTTTTTCCCCTAATTCTATGAGTTATTTTCCTATTTAAGCTTATTCAAATATTTTCAATAAAATTTTCTATTATCAAATGTATTACAATTTATATGTCTCAAAAAAACTTATAAAAATTTATGAATACCACTACTTTTTGTATGCATGTGCATTCTTTATTAATGTAGTCAATTACGGTTTAAAAATATAATTTGACCTTAAGCTTGTTTGTTTTAACTTATATTTTATAAAAATAAAATAAAATTAAATAAATTTTAAAAAAAAAGTTAAAAAAAAATCATATAATGATTGAATTGAACGTGATAATGATTGAATGTGTGCAAGAGTATATGACAATGACCCAATGATAATCTGACCCAAATAATTTACATGTACCCGATCATGACTTGACTTGTTTGGACTCGAGAAAGTGATGACCCGAACTAGAGCTATTAAAAGACTTTTATTGGTCTTTTATTTTTCTAATTTTTTTATTCATTTGCCTATTTAATCTTATTTAAATGTTTTGAATAATGCCATTTAAATGTTTAAAAAATATGCCATTAAAAAAAATGTGGACTCGGATATGAACTTATAAAAAATGAACAAGTTTAGATCATTTCAAATAAAATAAGTTTAGAAAAAAAATTGTTGTATTTTAACATATCTAAACTAAACCTATTTTATCCGAAATTATATGAACTTATTGTATTTTATCTGAACATGTCATCTCGAATATGAACTTATCTGAAATTGTTATCCCTAAAATGAGTGGAATCAATGTGAATAGATTAGAATAGGGTTTGAACTTATCTTCTAAAAATCTAAACTAAACCTATCTTATTAGAACTTATTACCTCGAATTTAAACTTATCTGAAATTATTTCTCTTACAATAAATGAAGTAATTGATAATGAGTAAACGTGAATGTCATTACATGAACTGTTAACAAACCGACCCAAAAACTGTACCCGAACCTGATATGACCCGACCTGAAATCAACCCGATACCCATATTAACCCAATATTTGAGACCCGAACCCGAACATGACCTGACTTGGAAATGATTCGACCTAATTATAACCTGCAATTTTTTTTACTTGAACCAAACCCGAACATGACCCAACTTGTAAATGACCCGACTTGATTGTAACCCGCAAATAATTGACTTGAACTGAACCCGACTTGAACCCGAGAATGACCCGACTTGGAAATGACCCAACCTAATTATAACCCGCAAATTATTGACTTAAACCGAACACGACTCAAACCCAAGAATGACCCGACCTGATTATAACCGCAAATTATTGATTTGAACCGAACCCGACTCAAACCCAAGAAAGACCCTAACCCGTTTTAACCCGTGAAAACCAGAATTAAACCTGAACTATTATTCACCCGACCCGAATGTAACCCGATCTGTTATTAACTCGACCTAAACCCGACCCAAACCTGAAAAGATGTATGACCCGACAGTACCCGACTCAAGCATGACCTAACCCGAACCGTATAGGTTACGACATTACCCGAAATGACCCAACCTAAACCCGACCCGTTTACCCGAATTAACAGCTCTACTTACAAGAAAGAGAGTGATGACGAATGCTACATTAATTTAAAAATTGATACTCAAAATGCCATTCCTAACAAAACAGAATGACATTCGCCTCTAATTGACTAATCACTATATATCTTTACATTGTATATGGCAACAAGTTATACATTTTACAAACCCATCTTTTTGGGTCTCAGGTATGTGGTAGCTCGTCGTGACCCTGGCATAGCAATTTTTTGGTTTTCTTTATCACGTTTTTCCCTCTCTTTATCCTTCCTTTTTTTCTCTGCATATTCTTGTTCTTTTCTCAAACTCTCCATTTCTTCCTCCATAGCTGTCTTCTCTTCCTTCTGTTTCTTCTTATGCTCCAACAATGATGTATCTGACTCTTTAACTGAGAAGAACATCGGCCCTAATTCTGATAACCATTGCGGCTCCACAGCAGTGACACACTGCATGTACTCTTTTGAGGTCAAAAGCAGCTCATGATAAACAACATACTCTGGCGTGAACCCCAATCCATAAAGAGCACTGGTTGGATGTAGATGGCATGGTATGCCATTCCTTGTATTAACATACTCACCAATCCCCTTCTGCTTTGCAGAGTTCTGGAAATACGCAGAACATATGGCTTGTCTAACTACATCCCAGTCAGGAGATGATGTAAGGGTTATCTTCAGTTGTTTCAGTATATCCATAAGTTGTGATCTAACCTCCCTAGCCTTGCGTAAAGCTTTAACCTGCAGAAAATGATCATTGCACCAATCTCCTCGATAGTCATTGCTTTTCCATTGCTGGTACACATTGAGAAGTGTCAAGTGATCTGATTCAGGCACAAAGAACTTTTCCCTAGCTGCATCACTCTCCTCTTCCCTGTCTTTAGGACGGAAAAATACTTTAGGTACTGAAAGCATGGAAACAATAGTTAGCACCTCATCAAGGCATTCCAGCTTTTCACCCATCAGTAGCATCTTTGCCAGTGGCGGGTCTAATGGAAATTCCACCATTTTCCAACCAAGTTCTGTCAGGCTCCCAACATTGTTAAGGGCACCTAGCACCCACAACTGGTACATGGAGTTGAGGATGTTCTCTTGTGGAGGCGGGTCCATGAATTCGAAGTCTAGCAAGTTCTCAATTTTAAGAGATTTCAAAAGCAAAACTACATTTCCAAGATTTGTCCTCTGAATCTCAGGTACAGGACTATGAAGCATCTCATTCAGATATGCACTTTCTGTATAAAGTCGGTAGCAAGTGCCAGGACCAGTTCTACCAGCACGTCCAGCACGCTGGTCAGCCGCAGCACGACTCACTGGAAAAACTTGAAGAGCATCCATACCCATCTTTGGATTGTAGACCTTCATTTTACTGTATCCAGTGTCAATAACATAAAATATACCATCAACAGTTAGAGATGTCTCGGCAATGTTGGTTGCTACAATGCATTTTCGCGCTCCATCTTCAGCTCTTTGAAAAATTTTTGCTTGTAAATCAGCAGGGAGCTGTGAGTAAATGGGAAGAATTAGGAGCTTTGCAACTGCCTTCTGAGTTGAGGAAGTTAGTTGCTCCATGCGCTCAGCAAGAGCATAGCACGCCGTCTCAATCTCATCCTGCCCAGTCATAAAAATAAGGATGTCGCCGGGAGGGGAGGTTATGTGTATAGTCATTGCTTGCTTCACAGCAGCTTCAACATAGTCTTCACAAGGTGTTTTACTGTACAAGGTATTGACAGGAAATGTTCTCCCAGGAATATGGAATATTGGGACACTGAAAAGGCAGAAACGTCAAAAAATTAGTTTTAAAAAGTCAAACAAAGGAAACAAATTTTTTTTATATATATATATAAACACAGAAAGCTTAGCATCTATTAGAAAGAGCAAAAATCCAGCCATTTGGTGTTAAGAGCCTTAGCCAATCAATGTTTATTATGGAGGTTCAAAGATTATGATTTGTAGTGGAAGTCTGCACATTTCTTCTGGCATAAGTTGCATTTATTAAAATTAAAAGTTATAACTGAGGACAGTAAATACTCAGAGGACCTGATTGATTGATGCTTCCTATTCTTCTCTTTAACAGCCTTTTCACATGCCATGTTGCAGCTATTGTCTGACTTTTATATAAGCCTCTGATGTCTCTTAAAATTTTTATATGTGAGGCATGTTAATGAGAGGGAATTAAAAGAGTTGCTTTTGATCTGCTTCGTTTCATTAATTACTTGCACCAATTTACTATCTGACAAGGGTTCATGTAATAAACAAATCTGGGTTTATTCAAGTAAATCCTTCTACTACAATCTTTAGCAAGCACTCACTTTATACAATTCATACAATTATCAACTTCATTTGGAAGGTCACATACTCACATATCACAAACGCAACGAAACCGAAAGGGAATTTGAGGCTGTACAGTGTAGGTTAAAGATTTTAATTCTCACTTTATCCGCTTTGCCTAAATCTGATCACCCCATATAAGACCGCAATAACCCCTTCCTTCCTAGCTAACCATAATTAAACTCCCTCTCTCAAGTAAAACTTAATAATTTATATATATAACAAGAGCTCGCATGATCATGTCAACAGTCCACCCCCTTTCCACAAGATACGCAACTACCTTCCGTGCTTCTTCAATCTCCATCAGCCTCTCTTCCCCCATTATCAGTGCAATAGCCACCATAAATCACTCAACACATGCTCACTTTGGATCTCTTACCACAGTCAAGGAAGTCAGTGAGGCTCTGTATGTACTATACCTAACTGAAACAATGATGGGAAACTACTGGATATTGCTGCAGGACCTAAAGATCACCAATCTTTACAACTCAACAGATGTACACAACCATCACCTCAAAGGGTGGTGAGAAGCGAAATTCACAGAATTGAACAGTTTTCCTTACTTTGATTTATGGAAACAAACTCCTTAAAAAAAAAAAAAAAAAAAAAAAGTGCATATTATTTAATTCAAAAGAACAGCAGAAAAACAAAGTACACAAAGAGGATAAGGTGTCCTCATTATAGTAAACCAAAATTACCACAACTAAAGTAGCCCAAATTCTTTAAATTTTGTGTCCTACTTGAATCAGATATAAAGTTGCATCCCTCTTGTTCGCCCTACTTTCCCAATCCTCTATCTTAATGCTCTCACTTGGACCAGCTAACCTTGCTGAATCGAAGGCCGTATTGTATTAATTTAGGGCTTCTTTCCTCTTCTATGTACTCTCACCTATTATTTGCTGCTAAGTGTCTAACTTGAAGGGGGAAAAATGTATATATATATAGTGGCATGACCAACGGGAGTAATGTTGTCTTGGTTCAAAATCTGCTTGATATGGGCAACAAAAAGACTGTACGAGTACTGAAAGATTGAATAAAAATAATGCGAATTATAGATAAAGACACATTACCTTCCAAAAAAATTTGAAAACTTCTGCGCATTAAGAGTTGCTGAAGTCACAATCAGTTTAAAATCTCGACGTCGGGCAACCACCTTTTTTAATATGCCAAACAACACATCTGTGTTGAGTGATCTCTCATGCGCTTCATCCATCACAATGACACTGGGAAATAGTTACAGCCTTAATTTTAGATAAATGTACCCAATTGCAGTATACTAATAATTTCATGATCCCAGTTGCAGAGCCATTTAAAAAAATATCAAGATTAGAATTTCACTAATATATTAAAAAGAGACTATAAAGGCAAGAAACACTAACAATCTTACCGATATCTCTCAAGTTCAGCATCTTTCAAAGTTTCACGCAGAAGTACTCCATCTGTCATGTACTGCAAATTGAAGAGGGAAGTGTATAATGAAATGGCCAAAACTTGATTTCACAATGAAGGTTTTTCTTTTTAATGCAACACATTCAGTATAATTCAAGAATGAAGTACACATATGAAACACAAATGCATTAAACATGACAAGAAAATACGTCCCAAAAAGGTATCAATATCTTTTTGGGAGATGATTTCTTGATAATAAACATGGAATTCAACATTAAATTGGGTGACAAACCTTGATTATGGTATTGGGTCCAGTAACATCCTCAAAGCGGATAGCATACCCAACTTTGTCTCCCAGCTCAGTTTCCATCTCTTCACTAACTCTTTTTGCAACACTCATTGCAGCAACACGCCTTGGTTGAGTGCATCCAACAATGCCATATGAAGTGTAACCATCTTCATGCAAATACTGTAAAACAAGTTCAAATCAAGAAACATATTGACAAGGTTACTTTGCCTCCTAAATACCCATCCACAGATCCAGTGTCCTAGAGAAAACCTCCATTTTCCTGAGTTCTATCCGCTTTCTATTTATTCCCTCAATGCCAACCTTTATTTATAATTTATCATCTCCTACCCTCACCATATGAGACCCTATTATTTTCATGAATCTCTTAATGTAGATCTCTTTCTTCCTAAGAGTGAAAGTATCTACATGAGCGATCCCACTCTTGCATTCTCCTTGATTTCGGTAACCAATGGGAAATTCAGGAAAACAGAGACAGCAACATGTATCTTTCTCAAAATAAGATATTCAGTACAGTGTACTTCATTCTCAATAAAGATTAATGAGGAATAAAAACCTGTGTTAGTTGAGTTGTCTTTCCTGAGCCTGTCTCTCCAACAACAACGACAATCTGATTCTCTCGAATAACCTGCGATCAATTCAAAGGATTGTATCCAAGTTCAATATGAGCAATAACAAACCAAAAACAGATTAAATCATCATGAAAGTACCTCAAGATTCCATCACAGAGACAAAAATGGGTAAACGAACAAAAATACGTAATACAACAACCAAGCCCAGATAGAACATGAGAGTGGAAGACTAAAGACACAATATGTGATTAGACATTCTACAACTATTATTCAGAATTTGTTATCATCCGACCAATACTGCTCTTTTTACAAGTTTATGTCATCCCAAACACAAATCCTCCAGTCACAGCAGAGCCTTGTTAAATTAAATTAGGAGCATTGGAGGAGGATGGCTAAGGAATCATAATTCAGAAGTGAGCACCATGAAATATTCCATCAAAATGCATTTGCAAGCATGAAAAATAACATGTTACCTGTAAAAGTTCATCCCTAACGGAGTATATGGGAAGATATTGTCTCTGCTGTGCCAGAGTTTTCGTCATTGCAAATTCACTCACAGCTTCGTCTTTCTTTAAATGCTGAGCAAACTTTGCATCTTCCTTGAAATCAATTTCCCCATCTTCACCAACCTTAGCATTATCAGCATCAACCTGAAATTGAACGCATAATGAAATAATGTACATTGACAAAACTGGATGCAAAATGAAAGAATGTACTTCGACGAAATGACATGTATAAGAGATCCACATTGCTAAGTATTACAAGACACATACCTGTTCAGCTGTCTTCTCAACGCCAAGGATATCCCCAAGTTTAGAACCAGCAAGTTCCCAAAACCGTTGGCGTGACTTATTCATGCTTTGTTTTTCACGAATTTCCCGCACTAAAGCAGATCCTTTACGAGATATAATAGCCATATCTGAAGATGGATCTTTCAAAGGCATAACAGGTTCTGCCTGCTTAGTAAAAACCACTCTACCATCCAAAAATGGAGGTTTTGTATCTGTGTCAAGCATAGTGAAAGTTTTAATAAGCGCTTAGGTAAATACTTTCGGGGAGGGGGGGGGGGGGTAGATATCATTTCTAATTTTGACTTACCATGAACTAAAAGAATAACCTTGTTCTCTTCTTCATTGTCAAATTCAGTTTGAACCTCAGTACCTCGAACAGCGCCTGATCTCATCAATTGTCGATCTTCCCACTGTTGCTTGTCTGCACTAAGCTGTGAATGCCTCTTGCTTTGAGCACGTGACATCATAGTTCCATCACGTCTCATCTATAGAGAGATTATGATTAGAGAGAGAGATAATGGAATACAAATTAAACCAAAAATCACTAATAAATCCTCAAAACATGACCAGGATCACCAGGTAAATAACCATTTAAGAATCAGCAACAAATCTTAAATGAAAATTTTAAGACCTACAACTCCAGACACTTAACATCTTAGGCACCATAACAACAACCAACAAAAAAAATAAAATAAAATACTCCAGTTCTATGAAAAGAAAAACCTAAATCATGCCATTTCAATATCATACCACAAAGGGCTAAGATAATGATGCAATTCTCAAATATCACAACAGATAAAATATTTTTTAGATTGCTTTTTTTTTTTTTTTGGTGGAGGAGCACGGTTATTTAGGCGACTGCATGTATAGATCCTAGAGACACTTCATAACATACACCAGTCACCCTGCGCAAAAGCTAGAAATTATGTTAGTCAATGACATAGATTGTTATTTTAGAGTTCTCAATCATGTATAATATAAGAGTAACAGAATACAGAAGACAAAGGCAATAAACAACCAAAATTGAAAATTAAATATCACTTGAACATACCAGCCTTTTTGCCAATTCTACTTCTTTCTTTTGGTTTGTAGCATCATCACCAAGATAGAATGATGAATTGTCAATGTCATAAATATTGCTGCCTTCTTCTCTATCATACCTGTATTCAATCAGAACTAAATGTTAAAACAGTATCACCACCACATATAAAGTCGTTCAAAAAGTGAACTGCAAGCAAAGGATGAAGATACAATCAAATAGAAGAAAATGGACTAAATCACACCTAATGAGATAATAAGAAATACTTTGTATATACACATAGCAGCTGCATACAAATGTAAACATATATAAGCCTCACTCACCAGGCGAGATCTGAATTGTATTCCATTTGCAAGCGCATATCTTCTGTGATTTCAGGATTTTGGTCTATAGCTGTGGCACTTCCATCAGCATCCATATCCTATATTAAGAATAGAAAAACAAAGAGAATGATTACCTTCAAACCTCAAAAACAGAGAAAGGGAATATAAAGCTACTGAACAAATCTACAGGCTACAGCACTCACAAAAGGTACAACATATGAACACTGGTTTCAAAATATTATACCTCAAGTTTTTGTATATCGACAGTAGAGCGTCTTTGCTTATTTGATCTTCCTTCGTACCGAGAACTAGAAGATCGCACAGAGGAGCCGGAAGCTCGAATAGGGACAGGTGACGGGGCAACATGATCCCAAGGGGAAGCATAAGCTCCTTCACCAATTTTAAAATCAGTGTCAATTGAAGTAATATGTAAATGAAAACAATAACTATAAGCAATACACAATGAGGTGAGAACATACCAGAACGCGGTGTTTGCCAAGGAGAAACCAATCTCGCATCAGGGGATGCTCCAATGAACATAGGGGATGGTGAAGGCTGATACCGGTTGCTAGAATTATGTTGACTATCATGACGTGGAGACTCATCCCACTCCCATCTCCCATCATCCCAATCTGATCTACCTGCCAATTAGCATGTGAAAAGATTGAGAACACTATTTTCAGAAATATTGGTTCGTGTAGCAGACCCCATTTTCGGAATTAAAGCTTAGATTGTTGTTGTTTATTAGATCTAAAAAATATTGAAAAATCTATGAAAATATGAACACCATCATCTATAAAAGGTGTTACACTATACTTTTAAAATACAAATAAAGAAAACAAATAATCACAATAGAGGTGTTAACTATGTGTAATCAGAATGCTACATTCTTCAATAAGCGAGAAATGTATTACTATGAACTCACTGCAAATCATTTTCTCCCCTTGATAAGCTTCTTTTAAAATTAATGAATGACTATAATTTTGATACTTGAAAGTAGGAAGTACACCCAATGGAAATGAAGAGAACAAAAACCTCAACATAATAACTAATTCTACTTTTTTTTAATTTCTTTAGCATTTTTCTTACTTATCGAAGACCAAAAACAGGTAATGAAGAGTTCATGACATGCCTTTCATAAATTGTTAGGTTTTTAAAAGCACTTCCTCCCCATATATATATGAGGTAGTTTTATGGGTGCTTTGACTGGGTGACGACAGGTGAGATTCAATAGAAAAAAGGCTATACATACCAGGCGTTCTCCTAGATCCTTCATATCTGCCTCTTTTCCTGTCATATTCACCACCATAGCCTCTATCATTCCACCTACCACTAGAGCCTCTGTCATACCGTTCATGTTCTGCACCACGACTCCGGTCTTTGCCATCAGCACCATGTCTATGAGTACCTTTAGTCCTTTCACTTCTAGAGTTATCTTGAGAGCTATCCCTGTCATTTCTTGAATAGACTTCAGAACGGATGCTTCTTTTAGAGTGATGCATGTCATCCTGGTCTTCACTTACACTACTTTCTGCAAAATAGATATCAAGAAGAATGTTAACAGAAAAGCAAGCCACATGAGGACAACATGATAAATTTCCTTGCCAGCTTCTTCTCATTAAAACTAATAATTATAAGTCCAGATATTGTGGAGGAAAAATTGTTGAAATCAAAATAGTACTTCCTCCATCCCATAATATAGTTCCTGTTTTTCTATTTTAGAGATCCAAAATATTTTTCCTAATTCTATTTTTGGATAGTATGTAAAGACCATTATACCCTCACTTTTTAACTTTATTCATTGTATTTCCTAAATTACCCTTGAATTTTGCACATGCCATGTATTTTTTTTCACTTTCTCTCTCTAACTTTTGTTTATAATTATACTTTTCACTATTATTAATGTATTTCATCCACTTTCTCTTCCTATTTCTTAAATACCGTGAAAAAACACAAACAGGAACTATATTATGGGACGAAGGGAGTATAAACATATCTTCTATCTTTTAAAATATTTGTCTTTCGTATTCGTAGTAAGGGCATCGGACGTAGTTCATGTGTAATAGACTGAATTTTCTGGCTTAATATTTCTGATTTAATAATGCAATAATAAAGATGAAGCTTTAAGATTGATTGATAATGGTGGAAGGGTTACAGAAGATAAACTAAAAGCTTAAGGCTATTACTCTCAAATAGTGAGTTTAGCTCACAACTCTCCAAAATGGCTTTAGGCCATGACTCTCTCTAGGTTTCCCTAATAAATTTCTGCCTACCTTCTTCTTTCTACCCTCTCTCTATTTATACTAAATCTAAGGACCATAACCTAATTACTAGACTTCCCAAATTACCCCTCCTAAAGCCAGTCTATTACATCATGCTTTCCCGAAATGCCAAGGTTTTTACATTGAGGCTCCACTCTGGAAATTAAGAAGGAATGAAGGATTTCTTCATGACACGTGAGATAGTGTGGTTTATAGCAATTGCACTCCCAAACTCATGGTTAGAGAGTACCTATAACATTAAGTTTCTACATGCTTCTCCTTTTATGAGGGCATATTTTTATGAACAAAAGTAAAAAAAGAGACCATGCAGTACTTGATTGAAAAGTACCACTCAAAGCAGCATCACGGTATCTCCTGTTGGGCCGTCGTTTGTTGCCTCCATGTTCCACAGTCTCATCTCCATCAACATCTGTCACAGCTGACTTCTCCTCTTCATCAAGAGATGAAGCAACAGAAGTGATTCTTTCTTTGGGAACCTTAAAACCAATATCTTGTTTCGATTCACTTCGTTTTGCAAGAGCAAGGACATCTAACCCTGATAAAAGAAATTACAGAAACATACTATAGCTCAGATATAAGATATATTTCTTGCACAAAAAAAAAAAAAAAAAAAAAAAAAAAAGAGAGAGAGAGAGTAAGCTGAGACATTTTGATTATGAATCATGAAAATAACTTGGGGCCAAATGAAACCACATGCAAGGGTATAGTGATTTCATTAAGGCTTTGTTTGGTATAACTTATTTAGTCTAAAATAAAGTGGCACTGTCTGAACTTATTTGAGTACATCAGAGCTTATTTTGTATGATATAAAACAAAATAAGATGAAATAAGCTGAAATCAAACAGATCCTAAAGCAAGAAACTGTGTTTTTAAGGCCAAGGTAAAAGGTTGGATAAAGGGCACGTTCTTCTGGGAGATTGCATAAAATAGTGACAACGGAATGCAAGATAGGTATAGAAGAAGGTAGTTGCCAGAAATTAATGGTAAAAGTAGAGAGAAGGGGGGTGGGGAGCAAAGATAGAACAGGTGGGATGGGGATCCTATGAGAGTATGAAATTCCATTGTGTGAAGCTCAATTCCTCAAATGAACTCAGAAAAATCTTCAGAGGGTGCTAATAAGTAATAACCATTCCTACATAAGATAACTCTATATGACTATAGGCGATAAATGTATCAACTTATTAACAATCAATCAATCAAAGCCTTAATCCCATAAGTAGAGTCGGTATCAGCTTATTAACAGAATAACACAAATTTAAGGCAATAAATGAACATCTTTGTTAGCTAAATGAGTATATGTAGGGGCAGTACTTAGATCACGGAGTCCTGAATTCCTTATAAGAAAGATTTTTTTTTTATATATAAAAATCCATCAGCTAGCTCTAATAATAAATTACTCAAATTAAAAAAGGTTTTGTTGTGATAATGAGAATTATGATGCCTAAATTTACCAACAATGATGATTTAGCTTTTTCTCATGAGTCATGACTCTGCAACACTCTACTGAAAACAAATTTGAATTTCACAAGTGACAAAGAGATAAAGAAGTCTATGCATCATACGATCACATCAATAAACTTGGAGATCCTTCATAATAGTTTAAACATTGACGCACCATCAACAACACCTAATCAAAGTATAATGTATACATAAACTGCAGGAAAAGCAACTATTATTTAAAAATATCACGATAGTATATGAAAGAATGTGACTATTTTATCTAGATATACGAAATATAACTCAAACAATCAAATGATGGCAAGAATTTGGAAGTAATGAAAAGATTTCCATGAAAACTTACTACAGTAAAAAACGACAGATAGTATGACCGAAAATTTCGGAAGTAAGGAAATTAGAATTCAAGTAAGAAAAAGCCAAATAGTACCTAAAAGAGATTTCTCAGGACGTTTATAGACAACACGCTCTTGTCCTCGCTTTTGGAGTCCTCCAGCAACACTTGACTGCTCTCCTTCCATAGTAACGATTGTACTATCAATATCAGGTTTCTGCATAAGATTCAGACATTTAATCAACCCACCTTCACTAAGTTGAAAGCAGGGAGAAAGGGATAAATTTACTATTGACCTATGATGACAGAAAAAAGTGAGTTTAAAAGAAGTAACATTGGATAGAAATGAATGGAGAAAGAAGGTCTATCTGAGCGACCGTTGGAAACTCTTGGTTCATGCACCCAACCCCATCCATTGTTAATAAGGCTAAGATTTAGTAGTTGTTAAATATTCTTTAATGAAAAATGCCATAGAATCCAATAAGCCAATCCAATTCTTACAACATTTTCATTATTGTGCTTCCACAAGTTTCCTTATCTTTCACCTCGACTACTTGATCGAATTCTAGTAATACAAAAATACAAGCCCTTTTCTACACTAACCCATTTAGAAAGGCGGCAGTTAAACACAAACGAAGAGTGTAGAATGTAAAATAAACAAAACGCTCGTAACGAATAGCAAGGACAGCGTATAATAACCTCCATAATTGCAGAACCTCGTTAGTGAGAGCTGGAAATATGAAAAACAAAAAAAAAAAAAAAAAACCAACAAAAAAAGGAAAAAGAACCATCAGTTATCTATATCTTTAGCGTAATTGTAAACAGTTAAGTAAAACACTAATAATTCAAAACATATAAAGCAATCAGGAAGAAGAGGTCTAATTTCATAGTTCAATCCAAATTAAAGGGTTCTGCAATACATTAGCAACCAAATTTGATTCAATTATCAAATAACGCTCGTAAAGTCACATAATTTTAAAAAGAAGAGGCATATTTGATTCAATTATCAATTAGACTCGTAATTTTCTTTTCTAATAACATAATCGTTGGTTATGATCGTTCATAACCCTAGTAATTAGAACCTATAGTTCAGATTTTTCGAACCCTAAATTTACTACACTGACAATTAAATTAGATCAAAGATAAAACCTAGATTGTGAAATTGATATGATGAATACAAAAAGAAACAACAACTTACCTCAGAAGCTGCTTCAATTGGGGATACCGGAATTCAAAAGCACTTCAATGGAGAACGTGAAGTGCGCTTCAGTGACAAAACGAACTGAGAGAGAGAGGAGGAGGGGAAACAGGTTTTCCGGTTTTTCTTTTTCTTCCTTTTTTTTTTTTTTTTTTTTTTTGAGTTATTGACAATTAGAGCAATTCTTCAATGGGTTAAAGCCTTAAACGCCTTGGAAGTTGGAACCCCATTCCAAGCCTTGAACCGCCCTAGTGATAAATGGGTCAGATCCGTCCAATTAAAAAATAGGGCGGGTCTTTATAGAATCGTCTAATTATAGATTTTTAATGGGGTGTGTAGAGGTGTAAATGAGCCGAGTCAAGCCAAATACTACCTTGTAGTCCTTGTCCATGTTCAAGTTTATTAAACTTTGGCGAGTCTGAGCACGACCCCGAGCTTTCAAGTGAACTCAAAAATCTGTTCAAGCTCGATTTATTTAGAACACTATAAGTATTTGCGAGTCGTCCGTGAATAGCTTGTTTATTGAGCTGATCTTTTTTCATGAACGAGTTTTTTTTTTTTTTAGGTCAGGTGAACACTCACCTTGGGAGGGGGGATTCCTCCCAAGGTGAGTTTGATGAGAATCGAACCCAAGTCTCTCACCTGGAATTCGAGAGACTTAGCCAACTGAGCCAAACCCCCTTCTCTAAACGAGCTTAATTATAAACGAGTTTTATACTTGTTACGACATTTGAAAGTTTCCCAATTATCATAATATTAAATATATTAATTATAAAATTTAGATATAGATTTTTTTTTTTTTTTACAATAATTTAGATATAGATCAACCATTGTGAATAAGTCAATAATTATAAAAAGTTATTAAATGATCAATTTATATCAAAGCTTTCATATAAAAGCATTTTGCATCTTCAAGATATCACATCTTATGACATTAAATAAGTAGCTCGTGAATATAAATAAACAAGTAGTTCATGAACATAAATAAACGAGTAGTTCATGAACTTATTTGAACGAGTATATCTATGTTCCTATTCAAGCTCATTTATTAAATAAACAAAAATGAACGAGCTTCAAGCTCGAACCCAAGTAGTTTATTGATTGCTCCGTTCAGTTACACCTCTACGGGAGTGGTGAACCCTTTAAGGGTTTGAAATTAGAAATAATTTCAGGTTTAATAAAAATTAGGTGAAGATAATAGGGCCTTAATTTTGGAACTTGATTGGGAGAAACAATTTTGGAAAAAAATGATATAAGTGATTTAGTCATATTTTTTTTTATACTCTATCCATTTTTTTTAAAGTGTTATACTAACTAAATTCAACTTTTTCACAAATTCTATACGTGGCTATTCTCGATTTTAAGCATAAGCATTTAATTAAGTAATGGGGGTTACTTCAATGATCAAACTAAATAATACCCGAGCTATTCTCGATTTTAAATGAGAGAAATTAAAATTAAATATAGAAGTCTCATGAAAAATGTGATCTAAAAGTAGTCCATCATAATAATAAATAATTAAAGTATAAAGTTTCTAGACACATTAATAATTCTGCGAAAATCTAAACAAAAAAATTATAGTTTAGTATGGAAAATTCCCTCCAAAAAAAATACTACTCCGTAATATATATAGTTTAGGTATATAGATAGATGTGCTTAACATTTGAGCAGGAAAATTTTTCATGAGGTAGCGCCACGTGTACAATTTTGGGAAAAGATGACATCAGCGATTGCTACTTTAGTATTAATTATAGATAGATGGAGTTACCTTGACAAATAAGGGGTTACCTAATAGAAAAATATGGTTATTCTTATAAGTAACCGAGCTAATCTATTTATATAATAGATAGATTAAAAGAAGGGGTCGGATAACTTGAATGAATAAATGGACTTAATTTTTTTTGTTTTTAATTAATTGATGTTGTTTGTATAATAAATTGGGTTACTTTATGGATAAATTAAGGTTACGCACATGAATAATTGAGGTTCATATTAATGGATAATAATTAACAAATGTGGTCACACACCGTGTGACTAGCGACACACATAATATAGTATTCCGAACAATGCATTCATCCATTTAATTTAAATTACAAATAAGAATCATAGAATGTATATGCCCCTCCATCTCAACCCAACCTACATAATTTTTCTTTAAAATGTACTATGTATAAATGAAGCCAAAAAGATAGTTTTATTTGTGTCAAAACCTACCAATTTGTGGAGCACAAATAGTTAACTTGTTGAATCTGCAAAAATGCTAGCTGGTGGGTGCTCATATTCAATTTTAACCAAAAATCACCACAAATAATAATAATAACAATAATCATAACCAACATTACACTACATTCTTCAAGTCCCAATCTTGTCAAAATTTTCAGACACATTTTTCATCCTAGGCCGAACCTCAGGATCACTTTCAGTGTAAGAAAGAGCCACATGAAAAGCAGCCAACACCTCTTTCTTGGCATGAACCTCTTGTAACAACATAGGGTCTACCATTTCCGAAAGCGGGTTTTCCTCTTCAAAACCCTTACCCATTTCACCAAATCATGTATTTCAGTTGAAGTCGACGTTGTTGGGGAAGAGTGTTCAGGAGATTTCCCTGTTAGTAACTCGAGCACGACTACTCCAAATGAGTAAACGTCCCATTTTTGAGTTGGTCGACTCCCAGGGATTTTTGCCTCGGGTGCACGATAGTTGTTGATTTTATCTTGACTAGTGGACTTAACGTAGGGGAGTGCACCGCCCATGAACCCACCGGAGGAGGAAGGATTATTGCCCGCGATGCTAATCAAACGATTAAGGCCAAAATCGGAGATGTGTGGTTGGAACTCGTTGTCGAGGAGGATGTTTGATGGCTTAATATCTCCATGCACAAATTTCCTAGGGCTACATTCATGAAGATTGGCCAAACCCCTAGCCGTTCCTTTGGCAATTTTCAACCTTGTTTTCCATGTTAAGCTTGTTGATGGCTGCCCTGTTCTCCCTGTTGCATCAAGAATGAATTTGTCACATCACTCACATGTAATAATAAATGCAATTTATGTACAAGTATCAATCTTCGTAATCACCCATATCATTTTACATTATCAACATGTGCACTAAGACTTTCTTTGTTGGTTCGAAAAATAAACAAAAAGGCCAGCTAAGAATCGAACTCAATACCTCTTACTGCCTAAAACCCTAGTGGCATAACACTAAATTATTTGAATGTAATATCGGATCGAAATTTTATCCTAAAACTAATAGAAGCAAATTCAATATGAGAAAATCAATAATATTCTATAGTTTTTGGCAGCACCAATTAGCCAGTAAGAGAATCTTGGCAACCAAAGCCTACAAAGACAAAGACAAAAGAGCTTTGAATATCCATCTAAACTTATAATTAAAAATTATACTGATGGATCTAAATCTGAGAGTACTGAGAGTGCTACATTATTGCTTAATTCGGGGGATTAAATTTGACTAATTATCCATAATTTGTAGAAATTTCCAAGAAAAATAATGCAGTAAAAAGCATCCAATGTTTGAATATAGTCTGACTGTTAGTTAAATGTGCAACCAAGTAAACATTCTTAGGTGGATTTGGATTGACAGAAACCCATTTTAGGTCAACTACCAAAGTTAGTGGTATGAACTAGATGGCAAAACTTTATTAGTCAAGGTCTTAGGTCTACCATTTTCCTTATACGTAGTTTGAGATTTTGACAATTGTGATTTAAAAGTATCTTTAAAATAAGGGCGAAAACAAAGTATTTCAATAATAAAAAGTCCCTTTGAATTGAATCTATCAAAAAAATTCAGTCCTTCTAGTTAGGTCTTAGATTTTTATTTCTAACTATTGATATAAAGTAAAATGATGTATTACATTTTTTTTTATCTTAATGTTATATATATATATATATATATACTTCATACGGAATAGTTTTTTTTCACTTGCACAATAATAATAATTAAATTAAAAATGGTTCACATATGTCTATAATCTAATTTATGTTGTTTCTAATAAAGGGTTGTCGACTCTATTTACTCTTTAGTAATCAATGATTAAATAAAATAACCCTTAGCTATCCAATCTACGTTAAAAAAATATTTATTTATTTCGGTTTTTATTTCAATAAACGCACAAAGCAAGGCAGTCCTTGACTCTTTACTATAAAACAAACAATTTATTTTCATGGTAATGGGGAACAACCTTAACTCTCAAACTTCCACAAGTGACAATGGTGTATGACTTTAAGTAGTATCATTTCACCAAAGTGCCTTCAAAGCTACTACTCAACATTTTCGTCATTGGATGCTCACCACATAGTCCTTAACAGAGCTACCCACCAAGAAAACTACTCATTACATCCTTACATATATATCAATATATGTACTTGAATCTCTACTTACAAAATTACCATCTAAACCTACATTACCATCTAAGCCTATGATTATAGCTAACTATTTAACACTTTGAAAAGTCGTTGTAAAGACTCTTTTTCAATTAAGAAGTTGTGAGTAACAACACTTGTTTTTTGCAGGTCAGACATTTAAAAATTCCGACTCCTATAAAAAGTTGTGTTTTTATGTGATGATTATCAAATAACGATTGATCATATCATTGAATCATGATGCATGAGTATAACGCTAAATCTTGAATCAAACAAATACTTCAATTTTTTGTCAAATAACTTTTGCCCACTCATTCTCAGTATGAACATAGACCATCAGCTACTCAGCAGTCAGTAACAGCAAAGATTTCTCAAGAGATTGATGTGAGGACCATTCTAAAATATAAAATTATACATTAATATAGTACCACTTACCTATATTATCAGAGACATACAATAAGCTTGTTTTTGGCATGACTTGAAGTAGCAAATATAACGTAGTAGATCACTAAATGCCAAACATAAGGCTGATTATATTAGACATAAGACTGATTAATTATTTATTCTAAGTACTGTATTAAAAAAAACATACTTTACTCAACTTTCATGCAAACTATGCTACTGCTAGTAATCTCTAAAAGGATGATGAACTCAAACTTTACCAATATATTCCCATATGTGACAAAGGTACGTCTTTTAGCAGCTATTCTACATGATATGGTTTTTGTCCTTTGAGCAAATACTTCGTACGTATAAGCTATACTGAATCCGACTTATACCTCTGTTTGAAACTAGTTATCACGTTATTAGCTTGTGTTTTCGTAACCGTGCTATTTGGAGAGGTCTAGTAGTATTAGTAGTATTAAACCACTAAAATAGACATAAATTCGAACAAAAATAGGCTATAAAATAGGATTGTAAATTTTAAAAGTAGTTCCGTACTTGCTTAGTCTCAAAATTAATATTCGTCCTTTTTGCACCATAATCAACATTCCTTCAATTAGATTTTGTACTTAAACCAGTGTAATAAACCAAATTCTAAACATTGTACCGTATATATTTAAGTTAAAGGAAACATAAATTAAACTCACCTCTTTATCCATCTCATTAATTAAACCATAATACTACCATAATTTTATTCATGCACAATAATAATAATAATAATAATAATAATAATATATTTTCTAAGTAAAACAAGACAAAATTATAAAAGAATTAACCAAGAAGAGAGATTTGGACTGACCTCGAAGAGCATTACCAAGATTGCCATTAGAAATGAAGTCAGAAATGAGCAATTTTTCATCAGGAGCCCGATAAT